TTTAAATTCAATCATTGCCGAGGTGTCAACCGAAACGGTTGGCAACCGTTCAGTGACCCTATCTACTACTAGTGCATTTATATCAAAGTTAACATTACATCTATCCGAGAATAAAATTTTAAATTTATATATCCCTGTGTCGCTTTACTAGTACCTCCGATGCCTTTAACTACAGGACATGAAAGTGACCTATTTATTACTAAACCTAAGCGCTGACAACATTGTCGTGTTATAAAGCTATTTTGGGCTCCGCTGTCCAGCAGTGCACGGACGCTTTGTTCGTTTCCACGCGAATCCCTAACCAAAATACGCGCCGTACCCAGTAACACGGTTGAAGGAGGTTGTGCTCCCATATTTGCCAATGAGCACAGAGCGACATCACCAGGTCGACCGCTAGAATCGTTGACCTTAGTAGGGGTGAATTCCTTATCCGCCTTACTTGACGCCGCTATGTTGCTATTTTCAAAATGTAATAGCGTGTGATGTTTCCTGGCGCACTTGCTACATACGGAACTCGAATTGCATTTTGCAACTAAATGCAATTCGAGTTCCGTATGTAGCAAGTGCGCCAGGAAACTTGCAACTAATCGCTTAAGCAGTTCAAACATAGGTTGTTTGTCTTTACTAACTTATAACGTTCGCTTGGTGAATATTTACGAAAAGTCGCACAATTATATAAATTACCGTGTTTATCTTTACATACTATACAAGTATGCTGGAGTGATGTCGGCGTAGCGGTTACGTAAGTTAACGACCCTGCTATTTTAGATAGTTGAGTCTGTCTACGGTCGACGCACCTTTTAATCTCCTGTTTAACGTTCGGAGAGCGCTGCATCACCTTTATTTGATCTCGCACGAACGATGCTAATGAATGAAAGGAAGGCATCTCCGAGCTACGATGCTCCATTTCAAACGCACGCACGGTGTCGGAGTCTAATTTCTTTAATGCTATATGGAGAAACACCACGTCCATAAGGTCATTAAACTTCGAATTCTTAAGTGCAGCCACCGATGCCACAAATTTATCTAGAAACTGCTCTAAGCCGTTGATGTTCGCGGATGATATAGGTTTAAGATCGAATATCTGGTTCAAATATTCGGAAGCTAACATTCTCCTATCTTCATATTTAGTTTTAAGCGTTTCAAATATTAATAAGTAATTGTTTGCTGTAGGTGTAAAACCCGAGCAGATCGACTGTGCTCTGCCACTAAGTTTACTAATTAAGTAATATAATTTTTCAGCGTCCGATAACGATGGGTTGTTGTGTATATTGTTTTGAAAACTACTGAAGAAGAAGGGCCACGTCTTAATATCACCATTGAATACCGGAATATCTATTGGCGGTAACCTAATTGAGTCACGAGGGCGTACCTGTATTTCCGGCTTTGCTTCGCTTTGAGATTGTAGGAGTTTTGCAGTTCTTTTTACGCGACACAACATATCTTCGAATGCCAGCAGCGGTTGGTAGTTCACTATGTATTTCGGGTCGCTTTGTAATTCCAAATGATTAATTTGGTCTAATATTCTTTCGTAATCTATCCGCAAAGTATCTATCGTTTCGATTTCATTCAAAAAGGCTTCCCGCACTGCCTCTATATTAATGTTCTTTATATAATCACTTATATTCTGCACACGCGAAAAGAGTATGTCCCTCTTGGCATAAAGCGTTTTAATTTTGATTTCACTTCCACTAACTGCCATTTTAAATTATTATAAAAAAGTTATATTAATCACAATTAATCTCACACGCATAAACGACGTAGGATGAACACTCGGCGTGCCGTATTACGTAATTAGATCGAACACCCGTTGCGGTCGAGTCTACGCGTCGTTTGCTAAACCTAATAATTTTATCAAAATTGTGGGGTAAGCGTATCAAACGGTTGCTATCACACCGTTTCAATTGTTTAATAAGCTTTAAATTTAACCAAATACGAGCGCTATTAAATGAATAATTCTGTTTGCGAGTACCAAATCAAATTTTTAATTTAAACGAACACTATTTAAGTCTATTCCATAAATTAGAGTGCGTTATCTAAACAATTAATTTAATAATTCTACCAGAAAATGGTTGGATAACCACTAAACACCAATCCAGATCCTGCCGAAGTGACCATAAAATGGTGGAGCCACGTGTTTAAGGCTGCTGAAAATCTAGTTCCCCGGTCAAACCTCAAACCTATTACGAGAGATATTAACTAAAGTGGACTGTATTTGCGATTGCTTCTACGCTTACGTAAAAGCGACTACTATAGCATGCGGTACAATGCACTCGCTCTTCCCTAAACTAAAACTATTACTTGCCAAATCGATGAAAGGAATCCTGCCTGATGAGGAGAACACAGAATTGGAACGGTTAAAACAATTATTAAATATTAATCAGGTAGTAAATTAAGGAATATTGACTCACCGGGGTTTCTTCTATCCTGTCGATCACTATAGCGACTTCTGGAACACTCCGGAGAGAGGCGGTGTGCGACGATATCTCACACGAGGGGAGGCGGGTTCCTGGAGCTCGACTGCTTCCAGGCCAAAGCGGGTTCCACTAGTGAGGTGTTTCCAAACGAGCGCGCGGGAAGAGAGAAGCGCGCGTCGGTCGCGCGTGTCTTATATATCCTCGGCTTCGATGATTACGCGATGTTCTAGAATCGTCTTTTTTCCCCTCCCACCCCATCACCCCGATGTGTCGATAGGAGGGTACGAATGATATCGTTTTGGAAAGGAATAATGATTCGGCAAGTTCCTACCGTCAAAAATAAAAACGCGAATGGTTTTCCGCGCAACCACTATCAGTCTTCAATTTCTCTTGCCAATCCCAGAAGCTTAATTTTAGATGATCTGCAAATAAAATGCACTTCGCAGATTTAAATTTGGTAGACAAGTCATTTATAAAAATTAAGAACAGCGTAGGGCCAATAGTACTTACCCTGACTCACACCAGATCTAGTAAAATAATCAGTGGTTTTGTAACCACTTACTCTAAGGGCGCCTTCAAATTTGCCGCAAAGTGTCGCGCGGCAGCGCGTTTGCAGCGGTGTGGCCGCGCTACTTTGTAAATTTATATAAATAAACGACTCGCGGTTACAGCGCTACACCCGCACTGCGGCTGTTCATTATTTGACTAGTGACCGCGCACGTATTTTTTTGTACAAGTCTAAACATGAACGAAAATCAGGTTGAAGAATTTATTGATGAGGTTGAGAGTCGTCCAGCGATATGAAATTCGAAATCCGACAAGTACAGCAATAAAATTGAAAAGAAAAAGGCATAGGAAGAAATATGCAATAAATTATTATTATTAATTTCACAAATAAAACCGCAAGTGAAAAAAATGAAGCATGTAAGTATATTTTTAACACAATTATTTTATATTTTCATTACTTGCCATGATAATTCTCTTTCTGGGCTAACAAAATAATCAGCTAATGTATCACGAAAAGTCGCAGATCTTCTTTGTGAGTGATTATTGTGATTTTGTTGCATGTTTTATAGATCGTATTTCATCGCTGTCGGTTTGGAGTTGGATGTCTTCGAATCTGTCTTCCTAAGTAAATTATGTAACACACAACAAGCAGGAACGATATCTTCAGCAAAGGGTATTTGTACATTTATTGGACGATGCTAAATTCTCCACTTATTCGCCATGATGCCAAACGGACACTCAATGTTTTTTCTTGCCCTGGATAAACGATAGTTGAAAATACGTTTTTTCTCATTTAAGTATTTTCCCGCGTAATCCCGAATACTAATCGTACTAATCCCGAATGCTTCGTCACCAATGAAAACAAAAGGCACTGGTGGTTCATTGCTTGTAATTGGCAAGGGGTTGGGAATATTAAGTCTTTGCTCTTTTAGACTTCTGTAAACTGTTACTGTTTTTGATAATTTGCGAATCAGAAGACTTTCCATATGATCCCACATCTAGGAATGTGAAACAATAGTTTGAGTCACTTATCGCCAAAAGAACTATAGAAAAGAAATTTTTATAATTGTAATATAAAGAACCAGTGTGCTCTGGCTTGATTATTCTTATATGTTTCCCATCAATAGCACCCAAGCAATTAGGGAAATTGGCCTTGGTGTAAACTCCGTTCGCAATTACTAACCAATCTTCTTCTTGAAGCTTGGGTATATATATAAATAGTATGGAGGATTTCATAAATTGCTCGACAAACTTCTTTCACAATAGCCCAAATCGTTGTAAGTTCACGGTTATACGTATGATATAAATTTGTACGACTGCAACCTTCTGCCAAGAACCTGTACCTAAATTAAAATATTGATTAATTATTTTCAGCTATACTACTACAACGCAAATGGAAAAACCTGAGGGATTCTTATAGTCGTGAAATTAATAAACAAAGAGCATCAAAGAGTGGGTCAGCTGCATTATCACATCGAAAATATTAACATTTCGACCGACTTCAATTTTTATTGTGTGAGTCCAGGCCCATTGATACACAGCCCACGACATCAAAAAAGAGGAAAGTTTCAGAGCCGAAAGAAGATGATACTAATAAAATTTTGAAAGTTCTCTTGGTAAGAATGCAAAGAAAAGACGAATCTATTGAAAATGATGGTGATCGGTGTATTTTATTATGACTGTTAAATGATTTTAAGAAAATACCTGAACACCTCAAGACTAACGCAAAGTACGATCGGTTTGATACGACGATTTATCAATACACATGTTAACTTCGATTAGGGTAAAGATACCAAAGAGTGCGCAGTTTTGACAGATTTATTTTTAAAATAATCAACTTTTGAGTTCAGTCTTCAATTTTACTTATAATTAGGCTTTTGTTCTTTAGGAACACTTTTTTTTACTCTTATTATTAATCAACATCCATTAATATTTAATAATTAATAAAAACAAGGACGTGTCTCACGCGCACTCTTAAGGTACAATGACTTAAAGAGTGCGCATCCTTGGCTCTTAGTACTAGTTAAGAGTACGCATGAGGGTAATGGAAGCTTTGTCCATGGTGGAACATCTACTTTAACCAAGGCAAACGTCACACTTAAAAACTCCGGATCCTAGACAGTCAGAGCACTCATCGTGCCACCAAGCCCCACACTGACTACATTGGATCCAGTCTTCATCTGGAGGTTCTACGTAGACTTCGGCACAAAGGGGGCATCGAATAACTTCTGTACCCGTACTTGTTTCCAGCAGTGTCGATCTATTTGGTGTCGTAGATTTATTTTTATTTGATGTCTTCTTTGTCTTCCTGGCCTTTTCTTCTTTTTCTTTTTGTTCTGCTTCTATTTGATTTTTATGAGGAGAACTGGTAAGGATTTCTGATTTCTTACATTTTATGTTTCTTTTTTTCTGAATGTTTGACTTTGGTAATGGTAAGATGTCTTCTGGTCTAAGAAAAGATGATTTGGATGGTGTTGGCTCGTCATTTTCTGGTGTTGTTATTACTTCCTGGTGATTATCAGTAGATTCAAGGGTTTCGGTTCCTCCGAGTTGAGACAATGCTATATCTGGAGCTGAAATATTAATATTGACGGGTATAGGTGACGAGACAACTTGGGTAACAGTTTCTGTAGTTGTTCTGTATTTGAACTATTAAGGGCTTCGCCTGTACTTGAAGTTTCTGCAGTTGGATTGGGACGGTCAGTGATATTTGCAGGAGCAAAATCTTCATCGGAAATAATCTGATCGTTAAAAGGCCAGATGCCACAAGATTCGAATGATTTCTTAGCTCTATCAATTGAACCAACCTTAAGGTATGCAGTGCCAAATAGTCGAGCAACTTGATATTGAGTTATAGCACGACCTGGATTTGAAACTTGCTAATTGTCACATGCAAGCTTTTTTTAATGGTCCAAAAAATCCTGTATCCAAACTCTTGATGGCTTGTGTGTGGTGCTAAGCTCAAAAGAACAACTCCATGATCCCTCGCTAATTCAATAGCCTGTAAACTTAAATGAGATGAATGATTATCTAAAATAAAAAGAGCAGGTTCATCTTTAGATGGCTTGACCATCTTAATGAAATGATTGAGCCACATTATAAATAGATCTGAGTTCATATAACCAGAATCGGATACAAGCTGTAGGGAGTCCTCTGGAGCTCCATCCATCAATTCGGGTTTTTGCCGCTTTCTAGGAAAAATGAATGCAGGTGGTACGAATATTCCAGTAGCACCCATACAGCAAACAGCCGTTACTGTTTGTCCACGTTCTGCGGACACAACTTTTCCTACAATTTTCTTGCCTTTTTTAGCATAAACTTTAGGTAACTTGTTTGGCACTATCTGGAGGCCAGTTTCATCCATGTTGAAAATTTGTCTGCCAACAAATTTGAAGGTTGTAAGTATTTGTTTTAAATTATCATAAAATCGTTGCACTTGTACACGATTGAATCCTGCAGCACGTGCCAAACTTGTTTTTTCAGGTTGACGGAGACTGAAGTTATGCCGCCTGGCAAAGTTTTCGACCCATTTCTTGCTAGCTTCCTTTTTATCATTATTAAATCTATGCTTAAGACCGTTTTTATTTGCTAAATCATAAGCGACGCTTCCTAGCTCCTTCTTCGTTAGACCATAAAAACATGAATCCAAGCGTCGGCAGTGCTCTGCCAAGTTACTATCTAATTCAGGAGTAAATACATTTGAAAATCTACTAAAGAGCAAGGAACAGTGCCTGCTTTTAGTCTTTTTCTTAGAGTCGATTCTGGGACATTCAAAGACTCTGCAACTGATCTTTGAATTTGCCCACGGCGTATTCTTTCCTTTGCATCTTTTAAAATTTCATCAGTAAATACCAATTTTCTATCTGATTTCCTTTTATAACTTGACATATTTGCGATCTATAAAAAAACAAAAGATAAATAATTAAAAAAGCTACTTTGTTCCCCATGAGTTACTATATAAGAGTGCGCATGCGCACTCTTTCGGTGCGCACTCTTAAGATTCCCGCTAATTCGATTGGCTATGACAGTTACAATCATTCCAACAAGATCGCATTTATAACCTTACTTAATAGCAAAATATAATAACCAAATTTCAAGAATAACTCACATATTCAGGTGGCACCCTTATGCAAATCTTGTAATACGTCTTCGAAATTGTTGATAAATAATATTAAAAGTACTCAAAACCTTTAAATTGCAATAATCAAACTAATAAATACCGCACCAACTTGAAAGCGTGTCTACTGATTCCAAGCGTCACTGCCAACTGACAGCGCAGTGTTGCCAAGTGTTGAAATTTCGTACCATTTAAAAGCTGTGCGTACTCTTTGGTAGTGCGTACTCTTTGGTGTCTTTACCCTATTCTTACCAACAACAACATGGTTATTTTATTTCCACGAATTAATCAAGCCAAAGCATAGTCTATTCATCAGCACAAGAATCAGAATTGACTGATATGTCGTCTATTTACGAGAATTTGTTTCTGGAGTAATGAAAATTAAAAGCAATAATATGAAAACTGTGTGATGTGATTTAGTTAAAAAATATAACGATTATATTATGAATTTGATGGCAATTTTTACTTACCTAAGTGTCTCTTCAGCACAAATAGTATTTTTGAAGGTTGTATTTTGTTTTCCAATTTAATGTTCTAAACGGGGAAGTAATTCCTAGAATTGCTTTGTCGACAATCTTAAGTAATTCTGAAATTGTTTGTCACTGTAGCCTTTTACTTTATAAAATTCAGTTTGTTGAGTTATACAAAATGACGGCAACGTTTTCTTAGGTTTCATTTTTTTGTTTTTTTTTTTTTTGCCCAAAATCCTTTTTCGTTTAATTAGTAACACGAGCAGTGTTTCTTCGTCAGAGTCCATTGTGAAACTAAATGTAATACACTACGATTCTCAAACCTAGCGACAGAAGTGCGGCTGCAGCGCTGCAGACGCGCTACATCCGCGCGGCACCCTGCGGCAAATTTGAAGGCGCCCTAACGAATTGATGACAATTATCCAAATAGCTAGCAAAGAATTGATGAAGCTTTGACGTAAAACCCAACTTAGCTAGCTTCTGAACAGTGTCATTACTCAATGATTTCTTATATTTACGCGAACATTATACATTGATTAAAACTACTTTTACGGATTTTATCGCGTTTTATTTATATTAATTTTAATACCCGAGGTTTCGGGTGCTTTCCAGCACCCATGGTCACGGGGGACTGAGGTGACTGACGTCCCGATGTCAAAGTTAACCCGGAGTACCTTCAGCTTTTTAATTATTGTTTTTGGTCCGATCTACGCAGAATGAACTAACTGTATTTTGAAGTCTTGCAGTGGTATGCTTGGGTTTAGTTTTGATTTTATTAATTATAGGATTCCAAGGAGGTGGTAGTACCCAGCCTCCTTCTCTATTGAAATTAGGATGTTTTTTAATTTCAATAGCCTCACGTATCATCCTTGGTAGGAATCGATGTTCTTTCGCGAGGATTTGTGGTCTATCAAATCTGATGTAATGGTTGGGGCCATCTAGAATATGATCGCAAACTGTTCCGGGAAGTCTGCATCCTTGTACAAACGAGAGTGACCACACGCTGGGGGGCAGCGACGTAACCAATCCACTTCCTCACAAGTACCAACCAGCGTGCCTTTTTCTTTTCTATAATCTGTTCCCGGTCACAAAGGTTCATCACACGTACTCCTGAGATGTCAGTGGTTCTGACCAAGGTTTGGGCTACTTTCTATGGAAGGTCATTGTTTACCCTTTCCACAAGTACACAGCGGTGAGCTTGCCCAGCGTTTTGAGGAAGACTAACCTGCACAATCGTTTCTGATCTCGGCGGAAGAACAATCTTCTTAATGCTGTACGCGTTCCCTGGCAACGTACCTTCCATAAAAAGTTCCTCCTGTCCACATTTCAAAACACCTTGCTTAACGTCGATCTCACAACAATTATTCCTCATAAAGTCTAGGCCCAGGATGCAGTCGTCAATTATATCAGCCACGATGACATTATGCAGGTAGATTACGTTGCCTAGCTTCAACTCCATCTCCTTCTCTCCACGGACGGGTATACGCTGACCGGTAGCTGTTACCAAATTAATGCGTTTTCGGTTGTATGCGGTGTCCCCAAGGAACTGACTTATAAGTTCGGAACTAACAACCGTACGAGAGGCTGCAGTGTCTATGGTCAGTTTACACGGCATTCCGTTCACCTCGCCCTTGATGATTAGACTGTTCCCACCATGGGTTTGTGAGATCGAGATCCTTGGGGCTCTTTTAACATCAGCCAGCACCCGCCCCGCAGTTCTGGCTTTTACTCGTTTCCCTGCTGCTGCTGGGCGGTGCTGTTGGCCGTACTACCCTCCTGGTATCATTCACCTTCCCTTTCTAGGGTTCGCTTAGGACAGCTGGATCGACGATGGGCCTTTTTCCCACAGCCATAGCACCTAGGGCTGTATCCTTTGTTGCGGTCGCGAACTGTAGCTGCTGCAACCTCGCTGACGCGATAGGAACGATGATCCTGCCGCACGGCTTCCATCTCCAGTACATGGGCCAAGGCGTCCTTAAGCGTCTCGTGGTGCCCGAGCCTCACAGCAGCTCTGACTTCCAGATCGTGGATGCCGTCGATGAATGTCTGCACCAGGTTCCCTTCAATGAGCGCAGGTACAGACCGGTATGCTTTTCGCACCAGCTTCTCCACCTCTAGAGCCCCCTGCTGCAGGTTTTCCTTGATGCACTGCACGCGATCTTTAAGCTGCGCACGAAAGACGTGTTCCAGGTGAGCGTCGCCATATCTCGCCTCCAATGCCTCAAGGAGTTGCTCATAAGTCACTTCCTCACCGAGAGCTTCCAGAACTGTTAAGGTCTGGTCGGGCAGGTCTAGTGTGAGAGCAGTCATGGCCTGACTTTTATTCCAGCCGTTCGCCTTCATAACAGCCTCGAACTGGATTTTGTAGGCTGACCAGGAAGAAGTCCCGTCGAACGGTGGCACTTTGAACCTACGTAGCAAAGGTGTAGTAGCTACTACGGGAGCTGTATTTCCATCCCCAAGTTTGAGTTCGTCCAGCGCTTTCTTCACTTGGTTGATTTGGGTTTCAGCTTCCGACAGGCGGTTGTCATGTTGAGCAACATTATCTTTCACCTCCCTTATCTCTTTTCCGAAGGTAGCGTGAAGGTCTTTCATGAGGAGCATCTGCTCCTCCTTATCGCGTTGGAGTTGCTCTTCTAAACGACGGGCCTGTTCCTTCTGCCGGCGGGCCTGTTCCTCCTGTCCGCCCCGCAGCTGCTCTTCCAATCGGCGGGCCTGTTCCTCCTGTCCGCGCTGCAGCTGCTGCAGCATCACCATCACAGCACCTAAGTTAGGTGCCACAGACGTAGGAGCTGCTGACGGGCCGGCTTCCGTGGCCGGCGGCTGGCCCTCAGACATCTGCGGCGTTACACCACCAAAAAATCGTCTCTGATCCGTCTCCTGCTGACGTTGACTTCGGGTACGGACACCCTCCATTTCGTCCTTAGGTAAAATCGGCATGATTTTATCCCACTTCTGACATCAATTGTTAC